ATGAAGGTCAATTAAATGATAAAACTTGAGGTAAAGTTATTTTTTAATTTAATTGGTGCATTTTAAACATATTTATTCATTTAGTGGTTCGTTTATATTTTTCTGATTTTACTTCTAATTATGTCAGTGTTGTTCCTCCGTACTGCAGAAGCCTGATAATCATCTATTCATTCATATCAGGTGTGTTGGAGCAGAGAAACAAGTACAACATGCAGGGCTGCGGCCCTCCAGGACCAGGATTGCCCACCCCTGCTTTAGATAGACATGATGTATCACTAACCGAAATATTAGCATCTGACCAGAGGGAAATACGTCAGAATGACAGTGGGTGCACAGTCAGGTCAATYTTCTACAACCAGAATAACATGATCAGATTAAATGTTTACATAATTYGGGTCATCTATCGCAGGAGTGGGCAATCCTGGTCCTCGAAGGCCACAGCCCTGCATGTTTTACTTTTTTCCCCTCTTCAACACACCTGGTTCAGTCACTCAATTACCCCTTCCAATTTTTGCAGAAGGCTGATAATCACCCATTCATCCAAATCAGGTGTGTTGGAGCAGAGAAACAAGTAAAACATGCAGGGCTGTGGCCCCCGAGGACCAGGATTGCCCACCCCTGACCTATCGGCATAAACCAGCCCTCTCGTTCCGATTACAAATTACTTCCAAGCTGAATCAGATGGGAGTATTCCGATTGGGGGACATTTACATGACACATATTTATTCCGATTGGCTGTTTTTTTCTGATTACTTATGTCCKTGTAAAAATAGCTAATGTCTCTCCAGCATGTCCTTCGTCTTCCCCATGGTTTGCTCCCAATTGGGCATGCCTAGAAAACTTCTCTCAGGAACCACCTCAACTGATTCAATGCAGAGGAGCAACTGAATTTCTTATTTCTTACAATGAACCTTTACATTGRCGCCTGTTTCACATTATGGCTACTGTGGCAGAACTATTCAAGAAAGTGACCCCAGGCTGCGCTCAAAGTGCTATAAATAGCTCCTGATGCCACTTAGAGCCAAATYACATTGAAGTCTATCCAAAGACTTTATTTTCTTTAAAAATCCCAAGGACAAGGCTAAAGCATTGTGGGGACTGGGCCTTTTCAGTGGCAGGACTCTGACTCTGGAACAAACTCCCTCTAGACCTTCGGTCCACCTCTGACCCGGCCATCTTTATGTCTAAGCTCAAGACTTATTTGTTTAGACAGGCTTTTAATACCATGGAGCACAGTAGCATTTTTTCTCTTATTTTTAGGGTTGTTTAGTGCCTTCTTTTCAATTTATCTTCAATCAATCAATCAAAATACCTTTTTTTGGTTTGGRATGCATATCGCGTCCAATACCCTAAAATATTCAGGAGAGACATGGACACTTGTGTTTAGTTCTCTTGGAACATTGTACTTTTCAATTTGAACTGAGAAAAAGTCCTCAGATAAGAAGCAAAATATCTTAAAATTGTCATGTTCTGAACAGCTGATAATCTACACCAATCGAACAGAATATTGTAAAACTGGATCGCAGTGGTTTTAAGATGGCAGAAATCCACATTGGTCTTGGCCTGGTTGTCTTTATTTGTCCAAACCGAGGTGGTCCAAAGAGCTTCRTTTGAGATCTAAACTACTGCTTTAAGGATACTTTCTTATAAATAATCATCATCAGCACATAGGACATCTGCAGGCTTGCATGCACTGGTCAGAGAGAGAGATGGTTCTGTGAGACTCGACACAATGGACAAACAGACGAGACAGGACACACCCATTACTACCTTAATGAGCCGCCGCTTTATGAGCTGCTGGTCAGCGGAAAGAAAGCCATGATTGATCTTTGGGAAGACCATCTGAGCAGGTGTGTGAGGTCAAGAGGTCGTAGGTCAAAGGTGAGAGAAGGTTGAAGGAGGATAAGGTCCCAGAAGAAGAAGCAGGAGGAGGAGGAGGAGGAGAAGCCAAATGCAAAGAGAAAGAGATTTTGTTAGAAAGCCCCATCTTCATGAAACCCCAGACGAGTGCCTGCACAGAGAGGGAGGAGAGTCCACACTTCCCCTCCATCGAGGTGGTTTACTTCAGATGCCTGCACTCGTGTTTTGGACTCGGGGTCCATAATTACCACCTCTGGGGTGTGAATGCACCACAATGGATTTGGAATAACCCCCCTGGAGAACTGGATTTCACTCCTCATCTGTGAAAGCACCGTCATCACCACCGTGCCTGCTGCCAAGTCGGACCCTGAGAGCYGCACACACTGAGACTACAGCCGGTCAACTCGGTTTCTTACCTCCCGTCYTTCAACGCCTGCTTTATTCTGAAAGCACCCATTGACGATTGGTCGTTTCACTGCTGAAACAATGTTGATGACCAGTTTGGTGGTTTGAAAGATTAGCGGTGAACCATGGGCATGAGAGCTTGACTACTTTTGGTCACTGTTGAGAATTTCCTTTAGAGCTCCTTCCATTTATTTTTAATGGACAGTGGACAAGAGCCAGACCATGTCCTGGTTTCAGGATACTGATTCTTGTTTCAGTTAACTACAGGGTCGTAAGAGGCCACCTTTGCCTTCAGTGGCAGGTTCGGTATGTAAAACCAACCAGAAATCACCTGAGTGAAAGATCGGTGGTGGCGGCAGGAAGGAGGAGATAAGTGTCGACTGRGTGTGATTGATTGTTTGAGGGTTTTCCTGTACGCACTCAGGATATTGCCAGGCTTCAAAGGAAGCAGCTGACAGTGATTCATTAATTCGCAGTGTGTGCTGCGGTGGGGTCGGACCCGGCAGCCAGGCGGCACCACAACAGACAAACCTTGACACCCAGGATCTGATTGGTGTGCAAAGCAGCCAGCGTAGGGGGGCCAGGCAATCCCTAAAAGGGACAAACAAGCAGAACATGGCACAACACACACGACATTCAAACACTGGGTGAACAAAACAAAACAAAAAAGGGAAGAAGAAAATCATTCTTTTTTGTAGTGCTAAACAAATTTAATTTGTGGGATATATTCTAACTTTTAAAATTAAGTTTACCAATTAAGTTTATCAGTGAAACTGTTTAGTAGACCGGTGGTCCCAACCCTTTGTCCTCACTTCAAACACAGACAAAAATACTGTCCCTAGCAGCAGAGTTTCATTTATTTGAGTTAGGGCTGGGCAATAAATCGATTTATCGATTAATTCAAATTTGCCATTTATAAAGATTTAATTTTGGGAAAATCAAGATTTTTTTTCTCACCAGTGCACTCTTTGGGGCTTCTGTAGTTCAAAGGTCACCTAACCTGTCCCTCAAGATGCTTGGTACATGACATGACAATACGGCAGTTAGCAGAGAGGATCTACTTCCCAAAAAAGGTTTTCTTCAGTTTTCTGGATCTGGTTGGGTTTTGCAACCTCAGACTTGGAGCAACGAACCCCTCACTGCAAAATCTGTTTGAAGGCTTTTGCTACAAAAAYAACAAATTTGTTTCAACACCTGAAACAGAGGCACTCCGTTAAGTGGGAAGCAAAATCGATTAAAATCGAAAATCAAATTTGGGAAGAAAAAATCTGAGATTTTTTTTGGGGGGCCATTTCGCCCAGCCCTAATTTGAGTATTTACAAAGATTGTTCATAATCATTGTGTGAATGCTTCGAAAAAATTCACATTATTTAGATATTTTTTTTGTTTCTTCCGCAATTATCTTGTTCCGCAATTTTTGTGCCATTTTAACAATTTATAAATCAAAACACTCAGCTCCTTCAAGACATTCCGGTAATGACTTTGGATATTTCAGCAATTTATACTTTTTGAGATATTTAGCTTTTTCAGCCGTGTTTTTCATTATTGAAAATGAATGGAGCTGTTTTCACCATCCTTTAAAAACCTTCAAAAATGTTTATAAGTATTTACTGCACTTTTTAACTTATGTGCTGGTTCTGCTTTTTTTTTTTTTTTTTTTTTTTTTTTTTTTTCTTTTTTCTTTTTTTTTTTTTTTTTTTTTACTTTTTTGAACTCATTTCAGCTTTTTCTGCTTTTTTGTAGCTATAATTTTGACATTTTCTGCTATTATTCTGCTAATTTCCACTGTTTGTTCCCTTCAGCTTCTTTTAACTTTTTTATGCTTCTTTCAGCTGCTTTTTTAAAATTTCAGCTGTTTTGAGTTTTTAGCCACATTTTAGCTAATTTGAGCTTTTTTCCATCTAAATACACCCTTTTAATAATTTCAGCCTTCACTTCACAATTTAACAAACGTGCTTTTTCTGCTTCTTTGTGCTAATATCAACTACTATTTTAGTCTAGTTCCAGCTTTCTTTAGCTTCTATTCTTCAAATTTTAGCTTTTTTTCTGCCTTTTTAGCTATCGTTTTGACCTTTTCTGTTATTCTTTCATTAATTTCAACTGTTTAGGCTTCTTTCAGCTTCCTTCTGCTATTTTAAAATTTTTATGCTTCTTTCAGCTGCTTTTTGCCAGTTTCAGCTGTTCTCTGCATTTGTAGCTACTCTTTAACTAATTTGAGCTTTTCTTCATCTAAATTCAGCTTTTTGATAATGTCAGCCTTTTACTTTTTAATTCAGCAAACATGTACTCTTTCTGATTCTTTGTGCTGTTTTCAGCTACTATTTTTATTCTAGTTTCAGCTTTTTTACAGGTATTCAGCAAAAACCTTTCAGCATTGTGCATTCACACTGTTTTTGTAGAAAATGCAAACTTCTRTAGTTTAATGTGTGATTATTTTGCTTGTGTCCCTAAAATTTTAAAAGCCTCTGTGCCGTTAAAGCTTCGTGGCCCCCAGAGCTCTGTGGTAGCCCTAATCCCATTACCTAGCTACTGATATAGACATAATTACATTTATAACAATACATTAATAAAGACCACCAGTCTTAATGTGATAAATGCACTCTGACTTATGACATGCTGGTAAATTAGGACGTAATATTGCTCTCGTTGAGCTTCGGCAAAGATCAACAGATGGAGATGTTTATTGGAAATTCAATCAAATTGCTTCCATTTCCAATCCACAAACTTCCTGACAGATGTGATTCAGTCATAAAAAAGTGAATGAGGTGTGAAAACATTGGGTCTTCTCCCTGATGGAAGGAAACAATAGTTCACAGCTGAAAGTAACTTTATTCTGAATACAGAAATGAGGACATTTAGGGGAATTAGCAAGGGTTTGAAACGGCAACAGATGCACCAGATTCCCGATTAATTTGGATTATTCTGTGGTGTTTAATCAACATATAATTTGACTTTGCTGAATTTTCCTAAATCATTTTGAAGCAGCAAGACAAAGTCTAAAAACTACTCAACATAATAAAGCACTGTTTGCCCAGGCTCTGTTTTATTAGTTAGTTTTACTAAGTGAGGACCCACGGGCCACATCCGGCCAGYGGGTAACTTTCATCTGTGATATGAATTTTTCTTTTTACTTCATTTAATATAAAAATAGATTTCAAATCAATCGGAAATTTTAAAATTATGATTCAATGCAACAAAACAAACTAATTTCAAAGGTTAAACATAACTAGACATGGGTTTTTACGATGTAAAACAAGTGAGCATTGCCATGTAGCATGTCTTTGCCTGCAGCAATGGACTTGCAGAATAAAGTTTGACCAAGCTCAAATGTGTTTTCTATACCAGCTTGAGGCTGTCACGTCAGCAGRTGTTTGTAATTAAGGTAATTGWGTGACAATATGAAGTCTGAAGAGATTTTTTTGTTAAAGTTTCATTAGCTGGGTTTTGAACCCTGATCTTCCACATGAGAGTCCATGACATAGACCATTAGACCAATGGAGCTGTGGCAGATGGTGGCAGGGGTTGGTTTGTAKGTGTGCAGAAAGAGGCCACATTGCCAATACAATTATTGACACAAAAATGCATAATACTACAACAACAGAGCAGTATTAAGACAATATTATAGTAAAACATCAAAATACAATCATATTAGTACTGTAAACACTGAACTACTGAGTTGAAATATTAAACTATGGTGCAGTACCAAGTTGAGTACAGCATGGGGCAGCATTGGACCAATACAAGGCTCCATTGACTGTGATTATAATTCATTAAACATTAATATTTCATAAACTATAAGTTTTACAGGCACCAAAAGGCATAGCCATCATTTGGCACAGGAGCTTTACAGATATAAATTACAATGGCAGCTCTAGGACAAAGTATGCAGGAGGAGAAGCATGGCAAAGTTGAGATGACTTGGATGGGAAACGAATCACAATAGTGTGCGTTGCATTGGCAATGCACACTGATAACACTTGTTCTTGTTTATCCCAATTTACTCTTAAWTAACAGATAAAGTGTTTAAATGATGAAACTTTGTTAAGCTTAGTTTAATCTTAGTTTTAAAAAATCTGGTTAATTTTCAAATTTATTTCTAAAATTTGATTACAATTTCATTTAAAACCCACCTGGTTCTAGTTGCACAATCACAGACCAAGAAAACGATTGCTTAACTTTAAGTTAGACAATAATGGCATTTTCTCTCAGTTAACTTTACGCTGCAGGTTTGGTTCCAGCACAAATATTCAACAAGAATGAAAGCAGAATGGACTAATAAAAGCGCTTCTTAAATATTGGCAGGCAGTCATAAACATGCCCTGTGAGAGATCAATCTTCATCTACAGTCAAGACGCACATACAATCTGGCCTATCCAAACATGGCTTTTGTGCCATCCCACCGGTCTTCCAAGGATAATTCAAAAAGCATGGCTCATTAAGAAAGGGACTTTCAAAGCAGGCTGTTTTGACTCATGCCCGCAGCGGAACAGAGCGCTGGATATACGCTGCAGACAATAGCTGTTCTGTGTGCGACTGGGACTGAAGCACAAGTTTTTCTAAAGTTATTTACAATCTCAAACTTTCTGAAGACAGCGAAGGAAAAACAGTCGCTGGATTATAACTCCTGGCACAAGTTGCACTGAATACATATTTTCTGCTTTTGCAATCGTTCTGAGACCCGTACAAGAAACACAAAAAAAAACTCTACATTAATTTTTTCTCACTGACCAGTGAGTGTTTGAAATGTGGAAATCATAAAAAAAATTATTAWTAATAATAATAATAATAGCCCCTCTCCATATTGCTTCAATGTTCATGTGTAAGAATGATAATAACACTGCGGCTGACAGAAATCCTAACCATTTACATCTGCTTTTGTTTGCTTTTCTCTGAAAACGGATGTCGGGTTCTTCAGTGGGGAGCTTTATTGCCGTGTATTCGCCTGCAGCGACGCGACTCGATATGTAGTAAACAAAATGTCAGCTCTGAGGACAATCGACGCTGGCTTAATCCTGGATTTTAAACTCCGCTAAATGAATCCAGGATGTGTTTTTTTTTTTTTTTTGGTGGTTTTTCCCTCAACTGAACTTTGCACCTCAGCTGCAGCCGTGGTGCAATCGCTCAAAGAGACCACACACACCTTTCTGTGTTCACGCATGGAGCCGGTAAGTGGAGCAGCTGCGGCGGCGGACGATTTGTTTGTGAAAAGAGGCCAGTTTGTTATTGGTTGCTTGGGTAACCCCTCATTTTTTGACATGACCTGTGACTGCTGACATGTGGGCAACAGGCTGAGGAGGCATTCTTCAACCAAGTAGACTTTCTGCACTGATCTAGTTTAGATTGGTACGTCAAGGGGATTATCCTGCGATGCCCCCCCATCGGTGGCATCTCCTTTCTATCCGGTCCAATCAACTCCAGGAACGTCGTGAAACGAGCTTCATTTCCAGACAGATTGAAGGTCAGGCACCACTTGTCCAGTCGCACCTTCATTTATTAGGGAAAAACCCTTCTAATGTGGTTCCACTACATTTCCTCACTAATCTAATGTGAAAAGTCAATATTCGGTCGGTGAAACTAATACAATTTGGGGGGCGACCCGCACTGCCTTCACGCCTGAAGTCCTTCATATATGACTGCAACACCGTGGGTTCATTTGTACCCATTAGGGGACAATTTAGTGGTAATACCAACTTAATGAAACGCCGCTTTAAAACGGACGGTTTATTTACTTTGGAAGGCAAATATATCTAGATGGAGATACATTACACTGCTGACCGTAGGCTTGTGTTTCCAAGTATAAATCATCCCACTGATAGAGAGGGGCTCAACTTAGACGAGATCAGCTAAAAATCAGCTTTGTGTTGATTTTATCCATTCCTACTAAAATAATGATTACCCAACACTTTTTATATGGAGGACCGAATCGGACATAATTAGAAATAAAAGCAGAAATATTTATAAATAGACCAATAAATGAATAAATACACATACATTTACTATTTTTAAAGTTTAATTTAAAACGAAGGCAAGAGGGAAAACACTGGCCTATGTCTTTGTTTTAAACTAAAATTTAAACTTTAAGCTAAACCGAGGCAACACAAGCATGCACAGTAGATCTGCACATGGATCCTKCTCCTTCCTGTCTGGTGACCAATAGGAGCTGATCCAAGAAGCTCCGCCCACCTTATTTGCATAATGAAGCAGAAATGCATATAGAAATGTAAATACAGGTGGCAGATGAATGTAAAAGCAACACATGGAAATAAAAATACTTGTGAGAAAAATTATATAAAAATAATAATAATAATAATTTTTTTCTTAATTGTTGCATTTTAAGTGTATTTATGTATTTAATTTTTTTACTGGTCCATTTATATATTTCTGCGTGTATTTCTAATTATGTCCAATTCGGTCCTCCATATTTTTACACCAAAYGACCGAAGAGTTCAAAACGTGTTTGTAGGCGTTGGGAAAGTAGGAAATTACGAAGGAGAAACTTAATCCCCGAGGTTAGCTACGAGGAGAAAGCACGTCTAAGTTAGCAGCGTTACTCGCCGTCCGCTAATTGGATTTCACAGAAAGGGTCGTCTGTTCTGGCTCTCAAATGGTAAGAAAGTCTGGCGCAGCTCGCCTGGAGGGACGGCTTGTCGGCAAATGCTTGGGTGGGCGCACGGCACCGAACTGGGACCAGATCCCCCCCTGGAGAAGGTGGCTGGAGTTCCAGTGACAAGACAAACTCTTGTTGGATTTGCTCCCCCAGCCATTATAAATCAGCTACAGGCACTCAGAGTGACTTTGACTCACATCCAGGCTGGCCCTGGTGAACAACAGCAGACTCTGAGGAAGTGAAAGTGTGTGTGCCCGACCCACTTTCTTAATGCAGTCTACTTTAAACAAAACTGTGCAGTCTGTTTGTCAAAATGACTGCTCAATTTTTTACGCATTATTGGAGGGGGAAAAAAAACGAAAGCGACTCTAACTGCAGAGCGGAGATGGACTAATTCATTTCAGAGTGAGTAAAGCGCTCACATTAGCATCATTTAATTGCGGCGCTTTTATAGAAATGTCAGGCTGCGGAGCTGAAAATGATTAAAGCAGTGAATGCGCCGCGTCACGCTGAGGGGTGAAGTTAATTACCAGTAATTTTGGAGACGGAGCTGATTATTTTCAAGTTTCAAAAATAGGAGGAAAAGAAAAAAAAAAGCATGTTCCACGAGTTTAAAAAAAAAATGGTTTCTGAGTTTTGTGAAGCGCACGCGTCCAACTCTTCTAAAGTGTCTCGCAATTCTGTCAACTCATTGWTGATGCAGTAAAGAAGCGGTGCTGAGATGCTTGTTGTGTTTGGCCACATCGGGGGAACTCTAGCCCAGGAATTTCATGCATTTCAAACCTTTAGACCACAATTCTGCTGGGGGAAGACACACACACACTCACACACACACACACACACAGTCACAAAAATCTGCGAATCCCAAGAAATCACAGCAAACCACATACCCGAGGTCCCTGGTCACCTTGATCCCCCTGCAGGTGAAAAAACAGAAGAACAAGAAGAAGAAGAAGAATTTAGCTTTAAACATGAGGATAAAACACACGAACAAACACAAAGAAGCCGAGACTCTAAATTGCTCTGGGGTAATTCAGAACACACTGATAAAGTAAAATAATACAGAAACCCTCAATTATTCATTGTGGTTTGAGAGTAAAATCACTTAAGATAACACAGAGTGACACGAGCTGGGTATCGGAGGAGGAGAAGGAAAGAGAGCAGAGCTGTGAGATTTGTTGGGTTTGGTGAGTGAGAAGCCAGAGAACCAGATTCATGACAGATTTTGTGGCCCCGGAGATGTATTTTTTTTTTTTTTTTTTTGGACGGCAAACGTCTGGCGAGAACCAGAGCGCACATTGTTGAAGGTTAAAACATTTGGTTTCAAATCAATCTCGAGGTGAAAGACTGCGGCTTCGTTACATCTGTGTGAACCCCAAAAGTAAGCTCACACTCGTTTGAAGTAGCTGAAGGAAAACCGAATGTTAGAAAGTGAATTATAACCTTAATCTGTCTCATGCCGATGAAAGAAAGAGTTTGGATCGCTTTGAAGCGGGGTTCTGCGGAGAGGTTATGAACAGGTAATATCTTACCTGTAGTAGATAGCTCTGAACAACCTTAATTTAGAAAAATAGAATTGAATTCTGATGAGATTGAGGAGCTAATGGCTAGTCTGAGTGGGGCCAAGACCAGAGTGGATGTCTTCAACAAAATAAAAAAGTTCATCCATTCACCTTTTTTAATACCTGCCCGATGCTGTGCAGAGTCACATGTCAACAATCACTGAACGAGAGAGGCGGAGCACCAAAACCGAAAGCCACAACAAATTATTATATGTTTGTTTCAATTCAGACTAGCCATTAGCTCATCAATCCAGCTGGAATAGAGTTTCATTTCTCCAAAACAAATTYGTTGAAAATCCCGTCTAGAACAGGTAAATATTGTTTGTGTGAATCTCACTTCAAAGGTTTTAAACTATCCCTTTAGGTCACACGTGTCACACCCTTGAAGGTGACTTGTTTCTGGCCCGCTAACAAGACCCTTTTAAGTTAATGCTTATCTTTAATACAAAAATAAATTTAAAATCACTTGTAAACTTTAATTTTGTGATTCAGTGCAACAGGATAAATAAATTTAAAAGGTGAAAGGTAACATTTGTCCAACCTCGGAGCAGTTGGCTGTCAGTAAATGTATTAATCTCTCAAAAATAAACTGCTTTAAAGCCAATATAAACTACAACTCCCAGAATGYATTGATATTTTTACATGCAAAATGATGGCATCCTACAGCTAGGTGGCGCTGCACRGGATTCAAAGAAAACAGTCGGTAAAACTGATGTGTAAAATTCTCAATTAGAAGAATTTTCACCGGCTACTTTTGTTACAGCCCTGGGAAGTGGGAATTTTCCGCTTACAAGTCGTAAAGTTAAAGTAGAACGCCCCTCTAGTAGGAAGTCCCTGTCCGAAAGTAGGAAAGTTCAGAATTCAAGATGGTGGCCAATGATAAAAACTCAGTAAGTAAAACTCTTTCACTATTAATAGTATTTTTTCTACATTATTATGACCCCTGTTTTTATAAGAGGACATGTTAAAACACTGTTCCTATGCAGGAAATACCAGGTACAACTCAGTTATTGTTTGTTAGCGGTGCTCAGCCGGCGCAAGAGGAATGTGTGTAGTCCAAGTTAAACACGAGATGCAAAGTTAACCACTATTGAGGACCATCGTAACATTTATGTGGCCCTCAGTGAAAACGAATTCGACACTCAGACCATCTCATTAGTTGGATTTTGCTCTCCTGTTGACCGTGTTGCCCTTTAGTAAACCAGGTTGCACCATTTATTGCACACAAATGGAAAGTTTGCCCCAATGAGCTTCAGCCTCTGRAACCTCAAATGAAACACCTCCTGGAATTGTTCTAATTTTTCATTTCACTTYGCCAAAAAAACGTATCAAAATGGAAATATTTGTGGACGACCACAGTGATTAATTAATGTTTTATTCCTCCTGGGTGGGAGGAGTGCACACAGTTGCTTTCCTCTTTAATAAACAACAGACTGAAGTTGTTTACACCAGAGGCACAGACATGAATGGAATCAACGGGACCCTTCGTGGCTATTATTACAGATGTCAAATATTCAGATAAATCTAGCTTTTTGAGGCAATATTCAGACTCAATTTGTTTTTAGGACTATGTGTGAAACAAAAAGATTGGGTTGATTTATGACGTTGGTCAGTGACAACTAGCATCGCTCTGCACCCCACATTACAAGGAACAATCAGTTACCAAAGAGGGCAATTGGACCCGGACAACAATTGTCATCATCTGTTTGACTTTTAGCTTTGGTTTCGACTCTCACGCTATTTCCATCCATTTCTTGTACTTTGACAGCCCAATCGATTTTCCAGTGTTGTTTCGACAAGTTATGAATCATTTTACACAAAATACAAATAAAATTGATAAATTTGTGGCTTAATCTTCAATAGCAGCACTTTAAATTCATTATATTGAGTTCAGGGACTTTTAATGGTCCGTGATGTGTTTCCACAGAGATGCACTTTGTTTGTCAGACAGTTTGGTCTGTTTTATGAAGCGTTGCTCMGTGAGGTTATGCAATGTTTCCAACTTTGAGGATGTTGTGGATTTCTAGAAAAGATAAAASCTGGTAGAACAACTATATCAATAACGTTTTACTCACCTTATCCCCCTTTGGACCTGGAGGGCCCTGTGAGGAGACACAAGAAAACAACAATTACGACCAATCATGCTAACCAAGAAGTTAAAAAAAAGAGCCGCCGAACACGACCTGAAAGTCGTGAACTCGGAGACAGAAAGAGATGAAATCAACTCTGTGTACTGCTTGATGTCTCTCTCAGGATTTGATTAAAATCTTGTGTCACAGACTGGCGAACGGTGCCTTCTGCGCCGTAGACAGCGGGGCTTATGAAAACATACAATTAAAATATAAAACAGACCCAAATCAAGTCTATGTTTACTTAGAGGATCAAATCCAGCAATCACTAACCAAGCGCTGGCAAGCACTTTGTAAAAATGTGCCCCCGAACAAGAGGAATACTGCTTCCTTTCATTGCACACAGAACTTTTTTATTTTTTATTCTGAAGGAGCTTGTGCATTCAGTTTGTCAGTCAGGAGGCAACGGCGCCACGGTGGTCTCTGCGAAACGTGGAGGTGAGCATCCACATCACAAAACAAGGACTTTAACTTGAAAGGCAAAGCTCACGTTAGAAAATTTTTGTCCGCGAGGTATAATACGCATTCCTCAGTTTGACTGCAGCCAAAACATCCCATGAAAAAGTCGACGTATTTTATTGAAACTCAAACGAAAAGGAATCTTCAACTGATTTATTATTGGAGTCAACCCGATTCAAGATGGCTGCCGCAAAATCCTGACCCTCAGTGAGGTGGACGACATGAATTCCTTTAAAGGAGACATTTCGTGCCTTTAAATCCTTCTTTTTCACATTGAAATCATTCATTTGGGGTCTATATAAAGTAGACCTGCAATGCATTGGCCTGAATTCCTCATTATTGTAACTCCACAAGCCCCGCCCCTTTTTGGGGTTCTGTCTCAGATCAACTCGTTTTGAGGCTGTCTCTTTAAAACCAAACATTTCATTTTATTGTGTTTATTGTTCCAACTGTAGAAAGAATTCAAACCCTCCCAAAAAATATAGTTTCTAATATTTTTTTTTTTGAACTCAGGGATTTCTTTCCCTGCTTAACAGACTCAGTTCCATGGATGGACCACATTAGTCTAATTCCTGTGTTTGGATTATGTCCCTTTGAGTCTATGAACCAGTGACCCAGAATTGCAGGCTTAAGCAGACAGTCTACAACTGCGTTGGCACACAGCTGGACAGTAGTTCAGTAGTTTTTCCTCCTGCCAGTCTCTACCGCACAGATCAGGGGGAATTATGTTATTATTATTATTATATTAGTAGCCAGGTTTGTGCCTGCTCGCTGCTGCTGGACATTATGTTTTCTGCTCAATCAGCTGTAGCTTTGTGCTTCGTTGAAGAAGTGCACGCATTCCTAGCTTGATTAGATTTTTTAAAGAAGAAATCTTGGTCATTAKGTTGTGAACCTGCACAGCAAGCGATTGCAGCATTGCGTTAAAAAAAAGGCTGAGGTGCAGGCCGATGCAGCTTTAAATTAAAGGAGGTGGTCCTGCTGCTTGGTACTTGACCAGGAACACAAAGAGCAACAAAACTGTTGTAAAGACAAAATGTGTTATTGTAAAAAGAGGAGGAAAAAAAAACCCTTCAATGTTTCCGGTTGTGGTTTCTCTGGGCAGGAATAACAGGGGCAGCATGCTGAAATAAAACGTAACTTTTGCCATTATAATGGTATAAAGGCATAATAAAGACATTCCAAAGAGGCTAAATAATTTTCCAGTGTTTCACTAAACAGGAGGCAGGGAGGAGGTTAGAGACAAACCTATAAACAGCTGCAGTAAATAAAATAATACTTATTGTACATTGCTATAGGGGTGCAACGATACAGGAAATTCACGGTTCGGTTCGGTTCGATACTTTAGTCTCACGGTTCGATATTTTTTCGATACAAAAAAGAGAAATTTCCATGCCCCTTTTTTAAGTTGTAATTCTAACTTGTAAATCTGTATTTTTGGTTTGAGAGAGGAGTAAAAGAAGCCATTTTTGTGAAGAAAGACCGTCCATCATTAAACGGAGGTGGAGGCC